CACCGCGTCGCCAACGTGTCAGACAGACCATGACAGTTAATCGGAGCTGACAGTGACACTGACATTTGTCTGGCGCCGGCGGTGTCATCAACAGACTCAATGCCTTTCCGAGTATGACCAGGTCAGCGGGAGGCAGGGGGTGGAGGGGGGGGGGGGGTTGACAGAGAGTGGCTGTGGGGTGTGAAGAGCGGTTGAGGTGTGGAGAGGGGGTGTGGAGAGGGGGGTGGAGAGGGGGTGTGGAGAGGGGTGTGGAGAGGGGGTGTGGAGAGGGGGTGGGGAGAGGGGTGTGTGGAGAGGGGGTGTGGAGAGGGGAGCGCATCGAATGACCTAAATTGTCGCCACTCCATCCCAAACTGAGATGGAGCTCGACAGAAATGAAAGTGCTGATAGTCAGCTGATACCAGACGCACTAAAGGAATTGATTTTAGATAAACAAATGTTCAACTACAGCAAAGAGAATCTACAACAACCTTACCTATACCTTCGGATGAAATAACGGTCGCACAATAGATAGGTACTAGGTAGGTATGTACGGCTCTCGCGAGATTAAGCGGTAGGTTTTGCACTTGCACTTGCACTTACACGATCATGGCCGGCTTGTTACCCAACAAGTCGATCGCATCTTCGACCCTTAAAAGCTTAAGACGACGAAGATATAGCCTGAAGTACACTAAATTTTCTAGGTGCAAAACCTACTGCTAAAACCCACGAGATGGTTTTACGGTCACCCACAGACCTCTATATATAGATAACTCTGTGGGTCACCAGCTTGTAAATTTGAGACACAATTAACATAATCGCATCGCCTTCCTTAAAAAAGGAACATTTGTTATTATTTTTGTTTGCTGTCCAGGACTTTCCCTTCTTATTTGCTTTTAATTTCATTCTCGGGTGCCATATTTTATTTAAACAGCAATGGCAACGGACGTTACGTTAGATTTAACCATGTCACAAAAGAGGATTAAATCATCCACAAAAGTCATCCAACAGTTGTGGTTCGTCGTGGAATGCAATGAATACCGTATGTACATACTGTGACTGACATAAGATCTATTTATTACTCTGCACGCCGACTCCGAATACAGTGCCAGCTCTGGATATCGGATCCCAGTGTGAGGGGTAACACCGTTCCGTGCTTCTATCCTCAGGATACTGAAATCCTTCTCCTCCACGCCGCAACCCCCCTCCGGGCTGGACAGGCAGCTTTATCTCATGCGGGCTGCTCCCTTGGAGCGGAACCGCTGCTCCCGAGGGAGCGCACCCCGTAGCCGGGTGCAGTGAGTGCCTTGGGGCTGGGTGGCCTGTCCTCTGGACGGGCTCAGCCCCGGCGACTCACTAGGGTGCCTGCCCAGACCAATGTCTCCCTCTACATCCTATCATCCTCCCGGCTCTGAAATGGTCTCATTGGACCGAAAGGGCCTAACCCAACAAAACAAAACTGAGGGGTAACGACGACAATAATCCGCCTCAGTGGCGTCCGTCAGTGGTGTTGTGTTCCACCAATTAGACAAAAAGTAATTGCAAAAAATCCCCACAAAAAAACAAAAATCCTTGCAAAATTATTCATGCATATACTTTAATAATATACACATAAGAACGCTTCGATACTGCAATGTGTTATACTCATTTAATGTTTTAAATTATATCAGATTACGGTTAGGTACAGGTTCTTGAATGATTAATTTGAAGCATATAAAACCATATGATACACGTTAGTCAGCATATAAGGTAAAAGTTCTTCCGTGTTTTAATTTGACAATGGTCAGTCGCGTCTGTCAGGAGTGCGCGAATGTTGCCAACTGGCTGAAGTTTACGTGGGCGAAGGGTATGGAGAACACGGCATGATGGCATGGAAATGTGTTAGCATTGACGGTTTTCAAAGCTGACGCGACCTTTTGCCATGAGTAGGCGTCTCCAGGGATCGACTCTGACTGACAGCCAGCAGCCCAAAATAGCATCTAAAAAACCTCAGCAAATCGGCACGTTGTCTAAAGTGATACACGTTAAATTTAAATGCATTTTTATTGGTAAAACTTCGGGCAGCAAAAAATATTTGATGGTCAACGATTATAATAGCGTTTAAACATACTGTCTTTAGACTGCTTAAGCCGGAGAAATTAGATTAAAATCGCCTCCGAAGGAACTTCAGCTAAACACTACTGATGAAGTTGATGATAGTGTATGTGTTGTTAATTAAGATGGATAGATATAAAGCTTGTAGCTTGTCATAGCTTGTTATTGGTATCTATAGTCACCGTGGTTATTGGTAACTTGGTAACTTGTTATTTTGTTCGATATTTTGACATTCGATATTCAAGCGTTTCGATTTTGGTGTTTCAATCCTTTGGAAATTTGGTACACTGCGGCTAAATGCTTTGTATTCAATATTTTGTGAGCTGTTGATATCTTTTATTTTGATAGCAATTTTCTCATGGCAGTGCTCAGGCAGATCACGTCGAGCTAACCAGTCAACCCATATAGGACGAGCCCATGGGTGTAGGAGCGCCAAAAATATTGGTGAAGGATGTCACCTGAACCCTCGGAGAAGTCACCTGAACCTTCGGAGAAGGTGCAGGACCTTACCGCAGTGGAGGGGGGAGGGGGGAATTTCGTCAACTCCTGTTTTTTTCTCGCAAATGTCTCACGCCACTATCATCTAATTAACGCCAACTTTTCAGTACATGCCTAAAATTGAATTTTTAGGTATCTAAGCATACCTTTGGATACCTACCAAAGGTATCCACTATCCAAGCATACCTTTGGAACCTAAAGGTATGCTCCACTGCTCTTTTTTCGTGACCAAAGTCTTACAACTTTCCCACGAGTAAAAACAAGCACAAGCCAATATATTTTGATATTCACGGCATTTACTGAGATTAACGGAAATTTCTGAGTATGAGCGGCCGGCCGACCGGTCGGCCGGCCGGCCGCGGTCACGGTTCTGCGACGCTTATATCTCAGCAGCCACTTGACCGATTTACACGCGGTAATTTTTGTACGGTAGCTTCATTCCTTCTACCAAGTATTGGACTATTCCCGATGCATGTGGGTGACCCCTTATGCACGTGCCACGTGCAAAACGAAGAGGTGTCACTTTTGTAATTGTTGCAATATCTCGGTAACTACTTGGCCGATTGCGCTGAAAGTTGGCATGTATGTAGGCACCCACTAGGCAATGCATATCCATGTGCCAGAGTTGGGGTGCTGCTGCACGTGCGCACGTGCAGGGGTCGATTCCAGATCTCGACAATGGCTGGACCGATGGCGCTCAAATTTGGTAAACAGTTAGGGACCGGTTAGTAGGGTGCCGTGCAAAAGTCAGTTGGGACCCATTTTGCACGTGCGCACGTGCAGGGTGCCGCTTCCAGGTCTCGAGAACGCTGAACGACTGGGCCGATTGTGCTCAAATTTGGCACATCGCTAGAGACCGGTTAGTAGGGTGCTGTGCACAAGTCAGCTGGAGGTACCCCGTCGAAATTTCGCACGTGCAAAGCTCACCCTCTTGCTCGCTCCGTTAGTCGCCCCAAAAGGCGTTATACTGGTTTATTAACCCGGCAGTTGCTGGGGTATTTCGCAACCCACCGTTTGCTGGGGGGGGGGGGGCGTTAAACGCCCCCAGCCGATAACTCGAGAACCAATAGGCGCAGCGAAACGCACGAGGAGGCAAACGCAAGAACGCGACGAGACGCTTCAGATGAGTACTTTTAAGTTGAATTTTGAGGTCACATGTCGGGTCAAGGTCAGGTCAAACACCTGAAATCGGACTTTCAGTAGCATGGACTTCAGGACTTCGCAATGGGCGCCTCTCGTCATAAACTCTGTCAAAACGGTGCACAATCCATCATATAAGGCCTACAAGAGTGTCAGCTCCATGTAGGGGTCAGCCAAGCATAGGTCAGGGTCAAGGTCAGGTCAACCGGCCAGGCACATATCCCCGAAAATCAAAACTGATATTCGCATCCTGTGACACATGTTTTATGGGTACTTTGGGGCGTAGAACACGATGGTGACATTCATTTTATCATATGTGTACGTGTTTGGCTAAAAAAGTTCAATTTAAGAAATGCATGTATCATGGTCGTGAAGTAGTCGCGAGAAATTGCAAAGATTTAGTTCAAGATTTTGGAAAATGCGGAACGCTAATCAATAATCGAAGATAGCCATTTGATTGGTCATGGTATTGGCAGTTCAATGGCGTTTACGGCATGTCTGTATGTCTATTCTGTGATTTTATATGATTTTTTGAACATATGCCGTTTTTGGTCGAAAACTCAGAAATCATGACGTCACTAAAACCTCGATATCTCAAAAATTTTCTGAACGATTTTTTTGAAACTTTGTCACAATAAACTTCAATTAATTCCCTACAGGTACCCAAAATTTGGCGCGCCTGCGGCGCGCCGTTTTTATGCTATGGCCCGCCGAAAAAAGTGGGGGCGTTTAACGCCCCCCCCCCCCCAGCAACTCGCGGGTTAAATGGCGTGAATTGTGAAGAAAGTGGGCATAACACTTCATAACTGATAGGATGGGGTAATTGGGTACCTGTTGCCGTTTTAGCAATAGCCTTTTTGTTGAACCCAGTCGTTCTAGCATTGGTGAAGACCCTCACCTGCATTGCTCAAGATTGGTGAAGGATCCTTCACCAATCTAAAACTTTGGTGAAAGGTATCCTTCACCAAAGAGATACGTTGCTACACCTATGGACGAGCCAGGAAACTCGAAACAGAGAACGATTGAAAACTTCCCGTTGATGAATTATGATTGGATAACTTGTAATATTTTAGTTGAATCACAATCCAATCGATGTTTTTATCTGCCGGCTCAGGTACCTGACCAGTATCCTGGATCACTGACCGGCCTCTCCGGGTCACTGACTGGTCAGCCAAGGCCACTGACTGACCTCCCCGGATCACTGACTGACCTGCCAAGGCCACTGACTGACCTGCCAAGGTCACTGACCGGCCTCCTCAGGTCCCTGACCTCCCCAGGTCGGCACTCACCGCTGTGCAGCAGGCCCGAGAACATGAGCACTGCCTGGAAGATCTGCACGGCCGTCTCCTCGGTCTCCGGCTCGGTGATCCTGGTCAGACTCTGGGTGATGGGCTGGCGACAGAAGCCCCAGAAGGCTCGGTCGAAGCCCTTGTAGGAGTCGGTGCCGTCGGCGGCGCTGCCGGCCGGCGCCGTCTGTCGCAGCTTCTCCAGCTTGGCCTTGTTGAACCTGCGGCATAGACGGGGGGAGAGATAGAGTCGGATGGAAAATGGAGCCCAGACCATTACGCATATAATGGCACAGAGTCAGACGACAATGCTGCAGCCTGGGATAGCTGTTCTGACTTTCCCTATCCATCCCTCTTCCCGCTCACCTTCTCAGTGTGTTTTTGAAGAAGTTGGAGCTCGTCGGATCCACGGGTTTTCGCACCATGTCGGCATCCACTATGTTCCGACGGCACTGAACCACGTTGTAGTGGAGTCGCATCCGATCATCGTTGGTTATGTGCTGAACCTGTCCACAGGCGGACATGGCACGGTCAGTCCACCAACTCAATCGCAAAACTTGTACAGTGGGCCGCACCAGGTGTTAGAATGGGGGTGGCCGTAGGATAGTGCATAAGCTTGCAATTTATATGTTGATGTTTGATCGTTCGACTGTTGGTTTGATAGTATTGAAACGATGATTGATATCCCAGTCCCGAGTACTTAGACGGCTGATGTTTGCCCACCTTTATCTCCAGTACCTACTGACCCGTCGAGTGATGTTGTCCACCTCTATCCCCTGAGCACCGATCGTCTGCTGATATCCCAATACTGACCCGTCTGCTGATACCCCGCTACTGTCCCGTCGACTGATGTTGTCCACCTATATCCCCAGTACCGACAGACTGCTGATATCCCAATACTGACCGGTCTGCTGATGTTGTCCACCTCTATCCCCCCCCCCCCCCAGTACCGACGACCGTCTGCTGATACCCCCGTACCGACGGCCGTCTGCTGAATCCCACTACTGACCCGTCGACTGATGTTGTCCACCTCTATCCCCAGTACCGACCGTCTGCTGATATCCCAGTACTGACCCGTCGACTGATGTTGTCCACCTCTCTGATCCAGGTGGCGTGTTCGGGCGAGTAGCTGGCAATCAGGGCGCCCATCTCGTCTCGCCACTTGGCTTCAAACACGAACACACGCTGGGCGTCGTGGTTGCGGTGCAGGTTAATGGTGATGAAGTCGTCCGAGGGATCCAGCAGGATCGACTCGACGTCGCCGTACGGAAACTCGACGATCACGTACTTGTCGTCGGGCCGGATCAGTAGGATGCCCTCGCAGTTGATGCCCATGTTGAGGTTGCTCCCTGCGAACGGTAGGTCCGGTGAGGTGGATGGGTCAGAACTTTGTGAAACAATACATGGACAATGGACCCAAAGGTGCTAAAGTAGACGGTTTAGCTCTGTGTGACCTGTAACAAAGGTAACTGTGTGACCTTTGCATTTGGCTTATGATACACCAGCTGCTGAATGACAAAACATCTTCGTTCGCGACCGGAGTTTCCACGGTAACTGCCGGGCTGCCGGCGAATGTAGTCTAACTTATTGCTAATGAAAAACACAGTCAGCTTGGATGCTAAATCACAGAAACTCTATATGATCAGACAATATATCAGACAATATATGATACTCGTGCTACGTATTTGGCGACTATACCAAGTTCTTATCGCATTGAACATCTGAACTGAGATCAGCTCACTGCTCCCGCCCCAGCCCTGAGGACTCCCTCCTTACCGTACGGCCAGTATCCTTTGTACTTGACCGGGAACTGGGTGGTGCCCCAGACAGGGTACTGCATCACGCAGGAGAGGTACCAGATTTTGGCCACCAGCTCTGACTTTCCGGCGCCGTACTGGTGGTGCGCGTGGGCGATTATCGGGATCTGAGGGCACGCAGAGACGTGGTCAGATGAAGGACGTCGCAAAACAACGACACAGGCCACAGCTGCTAACGACATAGGCCACAGCAGTATCAGAGATAATTGTCATGTCAACGTGATGAAAGCGTGCCAGCTGTAATAAGAAAACAATGTTCGAAGAACCAAGGCCATTATGTTCTGTATTCAACAAAATGCCCGCAACGAATCTCTTCGCGCGTTGGCCCACCATGTAACCCAAAGTCTCCTTCTTCTTCCTTTCCTCCTCCCTATCTTTTTCGGTCTCCTTACATTTATCAACATCTCCCTTTGTTCCTTCTATTCCCTTTCCTTCCTCCCTCCCTCCCTTACCACGCCCCTCCCTTCCATCTTACCCAGTCTGGTCGCCGTTTAGTGGAGGCGATTCGCTGAGACAGGAACGTGCCCACGTCTGAGTAGTGATCGTACTTGTCCTTGGGGTCCCCGAGGAGCACCTGAGCCTGCAGGCCCGCCAGCTGCAGTGCCACTTTCTCACTCACTGGGAGGTTGTCACTCTGTGGGACAGGGTAGGGGAGGTTAGAACGGAGGGAGACAGCGCCACCTTCTCACTCATTGGGAGGTTGTCACTCTGCAGGGACAGGGTAGGGGAGGTTAGAACGGAGGGAGACAGCGCCACCTTCTCACTCACTGGGAGATTGTCACTCTGCAGGGACAGGGTAGGGGAGGTTAGAACGGAGGGAGACAGCGCCACCTTCTCACTCACTGGGAGGTTGTCACTCTGTGGGACAGGGTAGGGGAGGTTAGAACAGGGAGACAGCGCCACCTTCTCACTCACTGGGAGGTTGTCACTCTGCAGGGACAGGGTAGGGGAGGTTAGAACGGAGGGAGACAGCGCCACCTTCTCACTCACTGGGAGATTGTCACTCTGCAGGGACAGGGTAGGGGAGGTTAGAACGGAGGGAGACAGCGCCACCTTCTCACTCACTGGGAGGTTGTCACTCTGTGGGACAGGGTAGGGGAGGTTAGAACAGAAGGAGACAGCGCCACCTTCTCACTCACTGGGAGGTTGTCACTCTGTGGGACAGGGTAGGGGAGGTTAGAACAGAAGGAGATAGCGCCACCTTCTCACTCACTGGGAGATTTTCGCTCTGTAGGGACAATGAGGCGACGGTCAGGGCGAAGGCGAATCAGGACAGAGGATGACGGGCGGGGAAAGTCAGCGTCACCTTCTCACTAACTGGGAGACTGTCACTCTGTGGACAGAGCGGGCGAGGAAGCTTAGGACGGAGGGAGGTGAGTAGGAGACAGCGTCACATCCTCACTCACAGGGAGGCTCACTCTGTGGACAGGGCTGTCTAGCGACTAGCAAAGGAAAACAGAGGGCGCGGCGGATGGTCACATGTACTAAAACACATGTGGAAAGAAAACCGAAAACCTCGATTAAATATCAAAGAAAACAACAATCTTATAATCCACCTATAAATCCTACGTCGCATCGCCCTTTACATACAGCCGAACAGCGCCTTCTCTTTAATTTCACCAGCCACGAGTCTCGCCAACCCGTTCAAATACCTCACTCACCTGTACTACCGAATAGACAGCCTGCGAGTAGAGCATGTGCACCTCCACCGGGTCGCTCGGGATCTCCCTGGTGGCCTTGAAGAGCCGCTTCTTGAAGATGAACCGGTTCTCACCGGCGCCGACTCCGACGGCAGACTGTCGCCGCAGCATCGGAGAGCTGGCGGGGGACTCGGCGGCGCGCGTCGAGCGCTGCTGCTTCTCACTGATGGAGGTGGGGTGGGATAGGTCAGAGGGGAGGGTCAGGGCAAGATCAGTGTGCGGTACAGGGGAGGGTCAGAGGTGGGGACGGGCCAATGGGGAGGACCGTTAGTTAGGCGAGGTAATTGGGGCGTTTCGTGAAATCCAGAACCTATGACAAATTACATCGCAAGATCTTGAAAAAGCAGTGATCGAACATTTTCACAACAAACGAATATATCTTTCTATGTGAGTTCACTACACTCCAATCGTCAAAAGCTCAATCGCCATACGTGCCAGCCCATTCTCAGCGCGTGACTCACATTTCCCAGGAGGCGATAACGTCATAGAGGTACTCGTGTGACTTGACGTGATGCTCGCCCTCGGCGGTGGCTTGGAACACGGCCCAGCCCTCCAGGTTCCACAGGCCGATCCTGCAGCCAGACACAGAATGTCACACAAGTGTGAAAGGATTGTTTTACTAAATAACAGACTAGGACATATCGGAAGGCACAAATCGGCATCCAAGCGATATAAATAGCCAAATGAGAGAACATGGAGTGCTTGGTCAGGGTGGGGAACTACGAATAAGTAGATGAAATAGACGAGCATAGACGAAAAACCCGAAAAATAGACAAAGTTAGCCCATAAAATAAACTGACACCCAATATACCGAATGTACAATCTACACTGATCCATCATGACCAAACGCCCCGAACTGAGTTAATACACCGTACCTACTGTAACATTACACAATCCCCGCAGCCTCAGCTGACGAACCTGTCTGCGATCTTGGACATGGCGTCGGCGGCTGTGTCCATCGGGTGCACGTCCACCGCCTTCGTCATGCCGTCCATGAAGAAGAAGCGACACACGATGGTGCCCAGACGCTTCATCGCCTGAGGGGAGGAACAGTGACAAACGGTCAGCGGATGAAGACACAATTTACAGGCGAATATCAAACCACCGATGGATTGATTACCGATACAATGATCGCATGTGTAGATGAACGGAAAAGAATGACTTTCAATTCAATAAACGCAGAATGAAAGAATACATGAATTAATTCGCAACTGCAAATAAGTACTTGTGGAATCCAAACATGCACCAAGACCGGCTGCAGATTGATACAGAGGTTCTTTTCGATAACAAGGTGGAACTACTGAGCGATGTTTGGCATCGCGGGACTCGTCACTAACCGTGATCTCGACAGTGCTGGGCGGGTTCTTTCTGCAGGTGACGTGCGAGTGTTTGCAGTTGTCAAGACACCACTGCACGTACTGGAGCGCCCGGCTGTCTGAAGAGTACTGCGATTTGCGCAGGAAACTCACAAAGTACTGGGGAACGAAGACAAAGTCGGTCGTCAGTTACAATTATCAGATAAGACAAATCGGAAGCATGCGCTAGACACGAAACCTCGAGTAATTCATACGCTTAAATCAGGCAGTAGGCAGACATGATTGTAATGAAATGCAGCACAAAATGAGCATCGAAAGTATAATCACATTACAGTTTCCATCATCTGCTGCAAGTCAGCAATTTAAATCAATATTTTGAACTACCAATGAATGCTGAAGTAGGTCCTCACACGTGGGAACGTACCTTGAACAGTATTTTCCCGGGCGGGAATGAGACGACACAGAGGGACAGCAGCAGCCACACCCTGTCCAGAGACTCCTGGACCGGGTTGTTGGTGATCTGACGGATACACTGCAAAAAGAGGAGGGGAGCTCAGTACTAAGACTGGGGCGGAGCCGTAACCACAGGCGCGTGATCAACGACCGCGTTGTTAGTGATCTGACGGATACACTGTAACAAGAGCCGGGGTCAGACCTGCTGGGACGATATTCACTGGTCGATTCGAAGGGGATGAGGTCACCTGAAGTTTCCGGAGAGGCCACTAGGGTAGCTAATAGTGGGAAATAGCCGTCGATCGTTGAACAAGTATTGGCATTTGGCATACCAGGTTTGATCAATAATAACTGAGACCAGCCGTGTGGCAGCCAAGCAAGCATAATCTGAATCATCATGATCATGGGAATGGAACATACGGCATGCTACTGGACAAGGCATCTGGCACACAAACTTGCATAGATATCGTTCACGTTTTATCGGTAGGCATTTATTTCAATTACCTGTACGTAGATTTCGTTCCTGAGCTCTTCCCTTTCAATGCCATGCTGAACAATAGTCTGGATGATTTTGATCTCAGCTTCTGGCTTCAGGTCACCCTTGATGTACTGCTGCAGGTCCTGTGAGACAACCAAACAAACATAGTCATAGGAAGAAAATGGGAACGCCTTTTACACAACATATTACACAGTTCAGTTACGATCCGCTAATCAAGTTCTCGTCATAAAATCCCAGCAGACAAGTCCCCCAATACAATGTGTTCCCAGTCATAGCAAAGTCATTGCAAAGTAGGTATGTCAAAGTTCCATCTCCCGTTACCAAGCGCACCGTACTGCCACTTCACCCCCCCCCCCCCCCCCGCCGTTCCGCCGGACAATTACAACTAGCTTAGACTGGCGACTGGACGGCCTAGCTTACCTTGAAGATGGCACAGGCGATGTCCACGTCGTCCGGATCGTACATGTGAACGTGCGAGGTGGGGATGCACGGCACCTTTGTGTACGTTATCATCTCGTACTTTGGCAGGTAGTCCACACAGCCCCGGCCGCGCCGGCTCAGTGTCGAGATGATGGCGCCTGGGTGGAAGGAGATGAAACAAAGTGGCATGTAAGCGGTTGATTAAACGGGAAAAACGGAAGACGTAATGCATCCCTAGAAGCAATATCGTACAATCTCTCTTGAAAATACCGCGCATCTGTACGGTGTATCCATCAAATCCGACCGAGGAAGGGCTGCTAAATTTGAGAGTCACTGAACCAATTGACATCCTCATCCATCCCCCACGTCATTTGACTGGGTGACTCAAAGCTAGCAGCACTTCCTCGGTCGGGCTTGATGGATCCAAGGCACCGATGCGCGGTACTTTCAAGACTGACTGTACAGTACAAAGTAATCCAATTCATGTGCTGGTGTGCAAAGTGGAAGTCAAACTCATGGGTTTTCTTGAACAGAGAACCCCGAACATATTTTTATCGACGAGAGTAATATAGCCTCGAGCCTACTTCTTTACTCAAACATCCTGCCATATTTTTTCGCAATCCAACATCCTGTCAGTAATTCACAGCACAATACGCAGGCAACCACCACTTAATCACGCATGCTTCTCACTGATAGTTCCCGTATCCCGCTCTCTCACCCTCGGGCACCCTCTCGTGCATGTTGAAGTATGTCTCGGCGAACTCGATCATATCAAAGTGCTCCTGCTGTTCCGGCTTGGCGTCGCCCTGCCGCTCGAGCTCCTGCAGCTCCTGGAGTTTGCGCTCGACCCGCTGCCGGCGCCGCTGGTCCCGCTCGTCCTCCTCCTGGGAGATCTGAGGCGAGACGAGATGCGAAGAAGTCAGGAAAAGGAAGTCGAGAGCAATAAGAAAAGGGCAAGGTCCCAGGATCGACATACGGCGGTGAGTGAGAATATTGGAAGACGAATCTGCTTCTTTCGAGAACAAAACGCAAAAATAATTGGAGCGAATGCAATGATAAAACTGTACACAAAACAGCAGCAGCTTGTAGACAGAGAATAAAAAACTCCCACAGTCGCCAGCCTATGCTTCTACTGTACCCCATCTCTGTGCGCGGCGTTACCACTCACCGACGCGCGCCGGCTGTTGGTGGTGCTGTTATTTCGGCTGCGGTTGGGGCTGAGCGGCGTCTGACCGCTGGCCAGTCGGGCCCGTCCGGCCGGCGACCCACTGCGCAGGCGGTGCCGGCTCGCCCGCTGTACCTTCTCCACACCCTGGTGAGCCGGCGCGCCGGGCGGCGGGCCCGGCGGCGGCACCGACGGGATGGCCGGCGGCGCCGGCTCCGGGTCGCTCGGCGCCTTCTTATTGTTGACGAGGATGCTCTCGTAGATGGGCTCTTTGGGAATGCGCTCAATGGGCGGCGGCTGCGGCGCGGCGCTGCGCCGGCCGTACAGCTCCTCGCCGGGAGGCGGAAGGATCAGCTCGGGGCCCGGCTCGCCGTCCCGCAGCTCGGACTCCTGCTCCGGTGGAGGCGGGGGGAGGTCGGCAGGAGGCGGCGGCGGCGGCAGCGAGGTCGGCTCCTCACCCGTGTCCTCGGCCATCGGACTCGGTGGCGGCAGAGGAGGGGTGGGCGCGCCGCGCGAGGGTCCGCCGGACGCAGCCCGACGGCCCGTCAGCTCGTCCATCTGCAACAGACGATCGGTCAGCCTCAAGAAGGTATGACGAGGTGACGAGGATATCAAACAAATGCTGGTCGCAAGTTATCTGATGTTTGATCATCTCGGTCATTGTACCGCGGCAAAACAACACGTAGTTTTTGGTACCTTTAATTTATGCATCCTCGTCCTGTGGTCACTACTATACAAACTTCTATGGTGCAACCAAACCTAACACCAGCCATGTCCCGCTATCGACCATGCTCACCTCCTCCAGCACGGTCAGCTCGAGCTCCTCGAGGTTCTGGTGGATCTCGTTCACCACACTGCTCTGCCCCGAGTTCATGTCGCTGAGGAACGAGAACAGGTTGTCCAGGTCGACAGAGACGGAGGACTTGGCGCGACCTCCGGCCGGTCGCTCAGCGTCGCCGGCGGCCAGCTTCATGTTGAGCTGGTCGGCGATCTCCGTCATCTCGTCAATCTCCTCCTGCATCAGCCTACCGAGACGCGATGGCAGCGGTCAGGACGGTGGCATTGAATGTGGTGCGGAGACAACTTACTAATGTCACACAACAGAGGAAGTGGAACAGTGGAAGAACAATCAACATTGGGTAGCAGCAATACAGTGACGGATGACCCAGTCAGATAGAGGAGACTTAAGTGTCGATCAAATACGATCTGTAGCTATTGCAGTTAAATACCACTTTCATTCAGTAACTAGAAAGTGTCAGGGGGAAATCAATGGGAATAAAGCTAGGATGAGGCAGCATCTGCAGAAAATGAGGAGTTGACACGCCAATAATGCCAATCAGATGGGTATCAAACAGCTGAGGTTTCTATAAGACAATTATTATCATCAGATGCTATTCGAACCATGACACAATATATATTTGCATCTACAAAAGACAACAGTAACCCTGGCTTCATCCTGTCCGACTTACTTTCCGTTCTGCTGCGGTTCCGGCGGGGGAAGAGGCCTGGTGGAAAGTAAAAGCCATCGGTCAACCAGACGCAAGCATCACAAGCCAAACGAGAGCAGCTTGGCATCGCAAGCACGCTGGTATCAAAAGCACATAGCCATCAGATGCGGCGAAATCCTCGGAGTCTCACCGAGGACAAGGGGGCGAGGCTTCAAGGGTTGTTTACTCATGAGAGGGTCACTGGGGGCCGGAGTCAGGCGCCTGGACCCGGTGGGCTCTCGGCAGCGGGGTGAACAGCAAAGCAAAGCAGCTCCGGCTCCTCTCCGGCTTCGTCGGTGAATTGCTATAATCATTGTAAGAGATTCCAAGTTCGTTAGGAAAATCATGGTATAAAATTACTCTTTCATGAAAAAGTGGAAATATTGATAACTTGATAATGACGCATGACAGGGAATAACTTGTCAGCATTACTGTTTGGATAGAAAGGCAAAGCAATGGCGCGTAGCGATGCTGCTCTTTTTTCGACGCCGATTGCCAGCACACGTCGTGCTGAGTCGCATTTGTAAGCCATTCAGCTGCAGACTACATACTGTTCCTCCGCCTCGAGTCGCCTCCGTTCCTCCTCCTCCAGCTCTCGTCGCCGCTCCTCCTCTTTCCTCTTCTCCTCCTCGAGTTTCTCTCTCCTCTGCCGCTCCTCTTCCATGACCTTCATGTCACGCAGAGCGGTGGCCACCTGAAAGCGACATAACAACTTGTTAATGTTGGAAGGAGGGCGTGCCAAATGCTACACGGTAACACGAAACCCGATTCTTCCGTCTCGAGAAACATTAAATATTATCCACTATACCGTGCCAGGGTCACCTACCGTAACTTTAGCAATCATTTCCGTATACCTCTCCATCACTTATGTCCCTACGTGCGCACATATTCTCTGGCAAACCTCTCTCCCCTCCCCCAATGCTGACCTCGCTCATGCCTTTAATCTATCAAACATTCCCCACCACCCGTACCTCTCTAGCGAACATGCCGCGCAGGTGTTTCTGCAGCACGATGACAGCTCGGCGCTGTCGCAGGTACAGCAGCCTCTGCCGCTTGGCTCGGTAGTGGCGCTGCAGACATTTGACCGCCTCCAGCTTCTCCCGGTACGCTGTGAAAGAAAGACAGGAGAGTGCGTGTTATAGGTCAGTCCGGAGACTCATATATGCCTCAGGCAGACGACTCAGCTGCAATGTATAAACAACACAACACTAGGTCACATCCCAGCATAAACCGCACCCGCTGCAGGAACAAGTAGCGAGTAACATGTTTGCTAAACATCATAAGATATGGACAATTCTGTCAGTAACGTTCATACGCTGCACGAAGACACCTCTGTACATACGTACCTTTTCTGCGCACGTAGCCTCTGTATACTTTCTGTATGCGCACAGCCGATTTGTGCACAAGGGCCGTCCGTTTGTCCTCCAGCGGCTCATGTACGCAATGGCGGAGGAAGATCTTGGTCTTTCCCATCTGCCACTCGCGCTCCGGCAGGCCGTGTTGCTTCATGATGTGCCTGTTGGAAGCAGACACTGGGGTCAGAGGGGTGATGGGTAAAGCGACATAGATTACAGGAGCTGGGAGAAAAGTACACGCCATGATGGGTTGCGAGGATATAGATGATGCTTAAGAAGAAGAAAAATTGTGAAATGCCTTCAGCGCTTTCAGTGAGGATCCGAGCTGACTAGGTACTGTAGAAGTTACACAATATCTGGTAAAGCATATGACTCAGCTTGAACTCTTAAAACACCTCAGCCTCCTCAATGCACATATGTAGACAAATAATCAACACCATAGACAGTTCGTCCTCAAGCACACGACCCTCGTCACCACCCTGGCGGCCGCGTGCCATACCTGCATCCCTCGGCTGCGGCCGCCTGCCTCCATCGCCGCCCTGTCAGACACTGGTACCGCTGGCAGAACTCTGGATGCGGCAGGTGAATCGGGAAACCCTGCTTGCGGATCTTGATGATGTCCAGCATGCCCAGGTACTTGAGCTGGTCGAGCACCAGTGGCGCGTCGTAGCAGCGCGATTGCTTCTTGCTGTTGGGTTTGATGCACCGCACGTACCTGAGAAGAGGGAGATGATAAACGATCTCAAATTGAGCGAGCTAAGAGACATTGGAAGGGCACTCTGTTAAGCGACCAACACGCAGACATTGCGAAAGCGAGAAACTTGGCATGAATGAGCGTAACTTTCATAGAAAAGGAAATCTTTAGATGGGTCCATAAACGCATCATCACAACATCCGCACCATACGGAATTCCTCATAAACCTCGGCTGCCTCGTGCCGCTCGAAAACAAGCCGATGACAGCGGCACACTTATGAGCATAAATGATGTTTTGCCTTCGCACCAGGGCAGGCCCTAACGACTTTACCGTCCGCTGGCACCGCCCCAGGCCAGATGAGATAAACAGGTACCGGATCGGGGAAAACATCGTCTAAATCGGCCCGGCTCGCTGCTATTTAGGTGACGAGCGCAGCAGGTAGCCGCATCTGCGGGACCAGGCTGCAGTCGCGTGCGCGTGGAACGTTTTTACTTTAATTTCTTCTGACAATACATAAATGGCATTTGACAGCGTTGCTCGTATTCAACTGGAGGAGACTACTCACCAAGGATTGCTCATCTGTAGGAGGTCGACCAGCGCCTGCAGCTGCTGTCTGAAGGCGTCGCTGACGGTCGGCTTGCCCTTGGAGGTGCCGCGGGAGACGGTGCTGCTCATGGTGCCGGTGCGGGACATACAACTCAGCAGGTCCTAGCGGGGTAGGGGCAGGTTAGAGAAAGCGCACGGAGTGTCCGCGGCTCGAAAACGCCACCGAAGGCGCGAATATGGTTTGCGGTTTACGTTTAGCTCGTTACTTAAATTCACTATTGGGCGCAAAATGACCTAGCAGTCGGCGCGCCCCTAATCCACAACAAACATTAAATTCACTATAAAATTAATACGCAAAAAGAGAGTCACAAAAATGACCAAATCACTTCAAACGTGGCTGGGTCGTTGTGCCTACACATAATCCAGTGCCGCTTGCCATCCTCGCCAAGTCTCGCTCACCTGGAACTGAGCCAGCTCCTCGACAAACTTGTTCTTGGACCGGCTCATGAAGTCAAAGAACAGATCCTGCTGGGCGTCCCGGTTCTTGTCGACGAAGCCGGCGATCGTGTAGGTGACGTGGCCGGCGTAGTGTCGGATGCTGAACTCAGATTCCCAGCGGCGTCGGTCCTCGCCCTTGACGTAGTACGGGTGCGACTCAAACTCGACGTGCAGTTTGGAGAGGTATGTCTCGTCAGAGCCCTGGGGGAGACAGCGGGACGACGGAAGCGGCTGGTCAGATGGTGCTCCCATCAACAGACAACATAGGACAACAACTAAGAACGCTCCATTCCAAACAAATGTTTATTTTCTAATGCATGAAAACTGTTCTCGCCAAATCGACTAATATCTCTCTGAACTAAGCTAATGAATTATGGGCATCGTTAAGAGACCGCATAAACACCTACTCATGATAATGGCATTTGGAACATTTATTTAGAAAACCCATTACAATCACTCCGGCCATCCAATTATTTAGCGAGGAGATAGCCTTCATCCCGATAACATGAATAAATAAACAGTCATGCCGACGCAGACCCAAAACGAGTCCAGTGAAGCGTAAAACTCGGCAGTGCGGCCGGCCCGACTGGAGCGGCACGATACAGAGCCCAGCTCGATCCCCCCTCCCCCCCCCCCCCCGGCGGGAGTGCCGACGGGCGCCGCGTCACCCATTTCCGAGGTGAGCTCTCCGAGAGGGAGAGAGGGGCGGGGGAGAGAGGCAGAGGGGCGGGGGACCGGTCGATCCGCCCACACGGGCGTGGCTCGGTTCAGTTCAGAGCGCCGGACCGCCGCCGGGCACCGAAGCGCCGAGAACCACCACTGAGTGGCGAGTGGGTTAGACCGGGCCGTGACGGTGAGACATTGACGGCCGGGGAGGAAATTGGGGAGAAAAGGGGGAAGGCTGAGGCCCGCTGAGGTGATTATCCAATGTAATCATCTCAGCCAAAACTCGACACGATACAAATATAATTTTCGAACCCGTCACGACTGTTATTGTTCATGTCTGAAGCCATGGTTGCCCTTGCGAATGCCATATTGTGCGAAACATTTAGAAGGTACTAACATCACATCCAATCAAACAATCGTCGCTTGGCCACTAACGCAGCCATTGATCTTCCTCAGCCGTGTTTGATACAATCCCAATGTGCAGTGCCGCCTATAAAAGACATCACCATCCACCCAAGTAACGTCCCGCTACCGTGCGTCTGCCCGGGTGGCATCTGCACTCATCCGACTGAAGCCCCGCGCGCAGCGGAGCGCTCAGAGGTCAAAGGTCACTGAGCTCGGGTCGGCGGCCGGGAGCGAGCCAACAGTGACCGATGGGATGCTACTGTCAAATTGAACGCACTGCGCAGTGTTCAAATAAATGGAGCGTCTAATAGACGCGCATCCGGAAACCCGGAACATGGCTTTACGGGAGGTATTACATAGATTCAGTTACCGGGCGGAGGATTAATGTTGAGAGCGAGCGTGGGCTGCTGTGTGGTGATGTTGGAGATTGGATAATTCTGCAGCATCAAATTGATGTGGGTTTTACTCACCTTTGGCATTCGGCATTCCTCGGAGAGCAGTTTGAGAATGCAGCGAGGCGGCTTCTCTATCAGCTCCAGGCACTCGGAGTTGTCTGAGAACTTGATGTGCGCGAACTGGATCTCCTCTTGCCGATACTGAGAACAGAAAGATGTGTCTTGGAACATAGCGTTTACACCGATGTCTACTGAGAAGTGAGAACTATGTTGCACTATACCTCTCCATACTAAGCGATAAACAACGGGTGGCCAAGATAACTCACCAGCAATCGAACTCAACTACCACTACATCCCATTGCAACAATACCAGGGCGGCTCAAAGGGCCCGCAAACAAGCATGTAAAAATAGACATCCATCTCGTGCGAGCTCTATGAGCAGACGTCGGTCCGTTTGCAGCCTGTGGGACCGACGCCGGGCTCCCGGCGGCTGTGTTAGTTTACATAACTGTAGGAGAGGGCGAATCGACCTCCGAGATACCACGGCCAGAATGGAGGTCTGACATTTGGGCTAACACGGCCGGGGGATATTGCCGTCAGGGGAAATAATCATGGACCTCTAGGGTGGTGTGTGATACCGATGAGGAGAGATTGCCATCATATGAGACAGTTTGGATATTTTCGGTGGTCTGATGGAATACAAATCGCTGACGTAAGCGTGTAGGACACCCACAGCTGAGCGGGATGGTCGCTATGTATATACGATCTGTGAAGTGTCAGTAATATAAATGGGTCTAATCTGACATACGTATAGCGAAGTGAAAACGGTGGAAAAAAAAGATATACACATGACAGACGGGCCATGTCTAAAGCCCTTGTAAGATAAGTATACTGCATGTGATTTAAGCTGCATGCTATAATGTAGGAATATAGGATATAGGATATGGAAAATATAGGAATATAGGGGTAGGAATATAGGATGTATAGTAAAGTCGTGATACCATTGTAGTAGAACAACATCACATGCAAAAGAGAGAGCGTATTCATCTCGGCAACTTATCCGAAAATGATATGCGCTTTTACGTGAAAGGCTGTTACAGGTGCCCCATGATCCCATCGAGTGTTGTTTTGACTTCAACCGAGAGTGCAGTGCGAGACAAGATGGCACTGTAGACAACACTTTACAGAATGTCTTGCTAAGATCTCACGCATCACATTTTGTGTAACGAACAACACGAAAAGCCCCTTCAATCTTCATATCGCTGCTCTTACGTTTGTCTCAACTATGCACGCAGGCCACGGAATTCTATGGAAAGCCTGGCAAACACAATGTTTTGCCAGACATTAAACGGCGAATCAATTACAGCATCCGTTCGGACGCTCTTGAAACAAATATTTTGCAGACCTAGTGACACGCAGGCACCAATCCACTTGTATCGGGAGAAGCTATCGACAGTTATTGAAAAAAAACTACTCTACACAAGACTATGGGTTACATCTAATATCTGAGATAATTACCGCTTCCTGTTCCAGCGCGAAGACGTAGTGGTTGAAGAAGGTGTGCAGCTTCTCGTTGGTGTAATTGATGCAGAGCTGCTCGAACGAGTTCTTCCCGAAGTTCTCGAAGCCGAAGATGTCTAGCACGCCGAGGAAGGCGCCGCTGTCCTGGCCGGGGTTTGTGCACGTGTTGATCTGGTTCACCAGCCACGCAAATGTCCGGGAGTAGAGCGCCTTGGTCATGGCGTGCCGGTTCTCGCGGGCCTGAAACACACACACAGGGTGAAGGGGTGACACGGTGAACGAGTCAACGGGGTACAAGCCGAAAGGTGTGCAAGGGGATCAGTTCTAGAGACATATTTGTGGGCTGGGCTGACCAATAGACGAGGCACACACCATGATCACGATTATGCTACCTGCCTCAATGACCTTAAATGAGAAGACTTCCACTTCATCTTCATTTTCATATTCCTATCGCTTTCAGAGTTAGTTTCACGCTCACTTATTCAAAGGTAGACCAAACTAATTCACGCAGGCCATGAAAATGTTTTCATGTCGAACAATAAAATAAAGCAATACCATCTTGCTTGACCTTATTGCACCTATGCACGCGGAAGGGAATAACAATATGAGACAACCAACATCATTTACGTCAGACACACGACAACATGAAAACCCCCACACTTCATTTATCTAAATCTATCCAGCTGCTCTCGGCTGGCACCAGTCCGCGATACGCCAAACCCCTCCGCCTTCGGTAATCACAAAAACACCCCCTGAGCAGAGGGGCGTGCGTGCTCCTCGCTTCCGGCCACAGTCGACTCTGTTGTGTCGCTTTGAGAGAGTAATGGGCAGACCGTGCCTCGGGGTGTTGTTACGGTCGTCCCCGTGTTGTGACTACGTTCGGACTAGCCCGGCGGGCTGTTGGTTTAGCGCTTGGTAACCAGGTTAGTTCCGTCTGCAGAGACGGAGCTCGCACACCACCGCTAAGACTCTGTTAGTGACACCGGGATCTGTTCCTCAACTGGTCCTCGCACCTCGCGACACACAGGTCGTGCGTTGTGTCCGGTGCCACCCTAGGTTTGTCGACAAAGTCTACCACTATTCTGAGGTTTACTGACAAAATATGGAGGATATTGTGCTGACGGAAATGAGAAGCAAGGCGGCATCCCAGCGGCGCAAAAACATGTGGACCGACCCAGCGGGACCATATGTTTCGGGAGCAGCACAGAAATAGCGACTGAAGACATGGCGCAGCCTGCGCCGCGCCGGCCTTCAGTCTAATGAACTGCGGAGATAAGAACCGCCACCGCGGGACGGCCGAAGAGGCTTTCAACAGCCTGCAGGGGCTAGCGAAATTGTGGCCGGCATCTGAATTGTTGGTTCTTTTTCTTCACTTCCCCAGCTTTAGTGACAAAGTCTGTAGGCATTATTGTGAGCTAAATGCTTTTTTTCGAAACCAGAACTTCATCTACATTATTTCATTGGATATTTTCAAACACCTACAAGCGTGTCAATTATAATTTTCAATTCGCTACAAAAACATCTTTAATTATACTCTGTTCCGTTTCAAGTTTGCAGCCGAAGTGCCCTGCTGAAAGCAGTGCGTGATTTCTGTATATACAGCTCTTACATGTTAAGACGCAAATTCTTGAGCGGAGGATTGATCTGCCGAAGAAACTCCAACTGCAAGCTTGATATGGAACAGACTATAACAAGCTCGGTTACGCCCGGGGGCCGGCCGGTCACACGGTGGTCACTGGTCTGTCGCACGTACCTCGTGCGGTTTGAGCGGGATCTCTGTGATGTTGCCGCGCACGTTGATCTGCCTGTTGAGCAGCACCAGGCGCACGTCGTCTCCCTCGAGGCCGAGCAGCTGAGAGACCGTGGCCAGGATGGTGACGTCTCCCTCCGTCAGCTCCGTCTTCTCGCCGTCTACGTCCTGGGGAGGTGGAGGAGGGACGTCAGAAGGGGAGGGTCAGCCACGACGAACGACTCGTGAGTGTGATGATGTGGGTTCATACCATGAACATAATTAAGATAAGTTTCGAGCATACAGCAGAAATGATAGCAAAACAGGCACGAAAATTTAAATAGAGGTTCATAAGCGAGTGAATAAAATTTAATTAACAGTGAGACGAATGTATCAGAAGAAAAAGATTTAAATATGCAGTCCCTTGCCGAGGATTTAAAAAGGCCCAGCCTCCTCACAGAAGACGTGCCGAATAAACCCATCCCAACCCGTTTCAAACACACTCGCCATTCTGAACACAGCTTTACGGTGAATAGGTTGACTAACTACACACACGGAAGATTAATGTAGTCATTCTGCGGGCCACACTCGATCCCCGAGGCTATAAAGGTCGACAAAGGCTGCCAGCGAGCCCCGTCCCCGCCCGCCGCCCACCTGTTGGTTCGATCAACACTGCAGGGGCGGGGAGTGTGCGTGTGACGCGGGGGGTCACTGTGTGATCGTAGGAAACAATCGGCCCGTCAGTCACATGGGTGATGATATGGTGATCGTGTTGTGTGTTCGTAAAACGACACAGCAAAGGCACGAGCCAGAAATGTTGGAAATAATTCAAATAA